CCATTTATTGGCACGGGTGTCAAACATTGGTTAAAAAGGTGCCAATAAAAAATATTATCTTTTCAGCCACTTTCAAAGCCTTTCAAAGTCTTATTCCACTAATCCCCGTTGACAATCCCCGTCAACGGGGATTAGTGAACTTTTTGTTCATTAATCGCCGTTAACGCCAATGGAGTTTATGATGGGGATTAATAAGAACTAAAAAGTTAATTAATCTCCAGTACGTTAAAAATAAAATACTCATGTAAGAATCAGGTACCTTCTATTTATTACTGGATAAGAACTCACTTATTATTTTTAATATCAAATTAAATTAAATTTAAGACTGTATACAATACTTAAAAAAAATTAACACTTACCTGATTAACCAAAAGCACTATGGATATTGAATCGTTATTCCCCATTCATCATTTAAAAGAAGATGGAAACGATTACATACAAATTTGGGTCAAGATGTAACAAGATAAAAATGGTGTAAATTAATAGTTTTGTAATCAGGCTTAAATTTAATTTAATTTGATTATAAAAATAATCAATAAGTGAGTTCTTATCCAATAATAAATAGAAGGTACATGATTCTTACATTAGTATTTTGTTTTTTAACGTAGTTTTCTGAATAAAGAAAAATAAAATAAACTAAAAAGTTCATTAATCCCCATTATAAGCTCCATTGGCGTTAGCGGGAATTAATGAATAAAAAGTTCACTAATCCCCGGGATTAAGCCTTTGAAAGGCTTTGAAAGTGGTACCACGGTCTACTACACAATTCAGATTGAAACATCCTGATCATCGCTCTAAGCCCGGTCCGTTCACAATTTTTACTGACGAGGAAGAACAGCTTTTTGTTGACGGGATAAAATAAAAATCAGTAGCAAAAAAGTATTTCCGAAGAGAAAAGAAGTGTTTATGGAAAGTTTAAAACCATATTTAATTATAGTAAGCGTTTGAACTGATATGGTATGTTCCTATACAAATAAATGTTACTTTTCTTAAAACAAAGGATTTTATTTTGTTTATTTCTATCATGAATCTCTTTAAAACCTCTACATAAGACCTAGCAGCTATTATTCAGTCTTGCGAGAACAGTGCCAATAATAGGTAATTATCACTGCCAATAAAAGGTTTGGTTATGCCAGGAACTGGTATTTTGAGGTATTTTTTTAAAAGGTACACTATATTGAATAAATGATTTAATTTATTAATGATAAGTACTTTATAATATTCTGCAAAGATTAAAAGATCAATATAAATGTTTTTTTCTTTGATAAAACATATTTTTACATGCAAATTTTACCGGTTTTGTGAAGTAGCTGCTTAAAGTGCCAATAATTGGGTGGTTTACCCTACTAGGACAAAACAAGAGCGTACAGAGCTTTTAGAAAAGTGTAATGGCTTCCTAACCGGAAACGATCAGTGTTACCAACATATTTTAACTCAATATTACATTGACTTAGAATTATTCCATAGATATAATAACATAACATAATGTGTCATATTTTTAAGAAATATAATTAACTTGAAAAAATCGAATTGCCTAAGGCGGGAATTGAATCCACGATGCCTTAGGCAGTTCGATTTTTTCAAGTTATTTATTAATTTTCAAATTAGTTTGAGATGCGACTCTTAACGCTAAAAATTAAATAACTATATAATGTGTCATAATTTATAAATAAAACAATTTGCTAAATATTTTCATGGCTTTGTTTAAGATTTGGATTATAAAAAATATATGTTTATGTAAGCAACTACTCGTATAGATTGACGAATCGTATGATTGGGCTTTATACGTGGCGTAGTTTTGCACATANTAATTGGCCATTTCTGATCACATTTGTCCTTCACTTTGTTCAAATTTATAGATAGGCAGTTTCTCACATGTTTCCAGAGCTTTTCCAGTAGACTATCTGACAAAGACGCGAGTCGCGAAAAGGGCCAGAAAAATTCTCTTCTCGCGTTCTCTCACGCCCTTTTAAAAATTATAAACCCAAAGCCTGCCTTTTTTGTGTATTTTACATTGAAAATATAGCATATCAGTAAAAGATTTGTGACAAAAAAATAGTATTTTTATTTAAATATTGCACAGATATGTGGCGCCTAAGTGAGGTCTAAAACCAACTTTTTTTTATAAATTCAGTGTCGATGCGGAGGCAGTTACTCTAAACCGAATTGATTAATATTTTGCTTGACTTCATTTAAGCCCTAAAGGCACAAAATTTTGACTATTACATTACAGATATCTGAAAAAAAAAATTTCGCTCCACCCTACTAGGTATACAATTGATTTCAAATCAATCAAGTTGATTGAGTTAGCGGACCAGAGGTGGAATTGTGTAAAGCAATCGTAATCATTTGACAGTTCATAACGTACGATTATTCTGTCAAACGCTTTGTTTAACTGACTTTATCGTACGTTATGAACTGTCAAATGATTACGATTGCTTTACACAATTCCACCTCAGAAAGGTAACGTCTTAAGTTTCTATAACTGTACAAAGTTAGCAGGTATTTTTAAAATAACGAAACTGATGGCATAAAAAATTCAATTTTAAGTTACCAAAGCAATTAAAAAACAAGGTTTTTTTTACCAAAGTTTAGGGTCCATAATGACTTTGTGTTACAACGAAATTGTTCGTAAAAAGTGAAACAAAATAAGTGTTGCTTCACTTTAAGAAACCAGTACTGAGGCCGTACAATTTAAAAACGGTGCTAATTTGCGGCAGAAAACTTAAAAAGTCTAGTAGACCTTACAGTTTGGACANTACTTACAGTTGGCATACTTATTTTCTGTTTTTTTTTCTTTATTTTCTTTGAAAATTATGATATACAATTTACAGAAAATATCACAAGTTAATCTAAGTAAGAAACAAATTTCTTACTAAGTAGCTTTCCGCCCGCGGCTTCGCCCGCGTGGAATTTTGTCTGTCACAAAAAACTTTATCGCGCGCGTCCCTACTTCAAAAACCGGGATAAAAACTATCCTGTGTCCTTTCTCGGGACTCAAAATATTAAGATTGGTTAAGGTGGATGCCCAATTTCATCAACATCGGTTCAGTGGTTTAAGCGTGAAAGCAATAAGAATGCCCCTACGTACAAAAAGGCGCCCACTGAAAATCAGTGTCTTGGTCAACGGGCCAAGACGTTACTGAGTGAGTGGCCTTTTTGACAACTTTATTATTATTTTTTCCTTTTTTCTTTCTCCTTTTTGATGTTTGTGTTCTAAATGATAAGAATGTATCTATTTTCTACTATTTTTGTTGTCAAATAAAGATTTTTCTTTGTTTCTTTCTTTCAATACAGACAGACAGACAGAGTTACTTTCGCATTTATAATATTAGTATAGAAGTATAGACAATATGTGAGTCTTATTTCATAAGATTTTTATTAATAGTAAGTAGCAATTAGCTGAAGTTATACGACTATTATTAAGCGTACGTAAACCAGAAAATATAAAACTATTAATGAAAGAAATTGTGTTATAATGATTTTTTACTAACATTTTAATGTAAAGTATTAAGCAAAACGATAGCGTGCTAGTTCCTTGAATAATATTATTATAAGTCACGATAATTGTAAGAAAATTTTAATTTATGCATATTATTACAATAATTACTGCTTTTGCATATTGTTATGCGTCCGATTTTTATATTGATATCGTAAATGCTGGTCGTACTTGCAATATAATATGACGACCACGACTGTTTTTCCAACAGCCAACTAAATGACATACTTATACGAAGCAATAAGGCTGGATTGCACCATCTTACTTTAACTTCAAAATTTTGTTAATCGCCATACAAAAACACCAGTTATTGTTACAGTAACTGTTAAAGTTTGATGGTGCAACTCAGACTAAGTGATCTCACTTGATTATTTCTTAACTATAACAAGATATTTGAAAAACTGTTGATCCTGAAAGCGCTTCACGAGCTCTATCAAACGGTATCAATAATAGGTTCCAGAATAAACTGGATTGATCCGAAAATTCAACGTTTCCTGCTTCCTTAAATTTGTTTTTGTAATTTAGACATCATTTAATATCCTCTCCTTTAACCATGATCATACCATTTGTTTATTCGCACTTCACCCGTTACAATGTATCAAGTCCAGATCTTGGAGTTAAAGTCAACCCACACCCGAAAATGACCTTTGACCAAATGTCATTAAACTAACTTTTCAGCGTCCTAAACTCAACAGGTTCCTGCATCTTTCACCCCCAGTTGTTTCACATGAAAAGGTTAAGTAAATTAGCTTATAAGTAAGTAATTAGTTACTAATGTGAGTTGTGCTAGAAAGATAAGTAAAGTTAGAGCCATGAATGGTTACGTACTTTATGTTTCACTTCGGATGATATAAAAGTTTAAAATTACTTCACAGATTGTTCAACTTTGTTTTGCTTTTAAAGCGATAGTAGTCGGCGAGTCAGCTCGAGTCGTAGTCTCGTAGCAGTCCAATCGGAGCTACAAAACTTCGTAGTTAATTTCGTAGCTCGTAGCGTAGCTGCGGAGTCTGTCAGAATTAGTATGAAAATATTTTTGGGAACTTCACTAATTTAATACTACTTAAAAATGATTTTATTGAGTTAATAAAATAAAAAATATCTGATACAAGATATTATTGTGCTTTTTTCTTCAAACTACACCGGTAATTTTTCATTTTATGACGTTAACTGGATGAAAACCCTCATTCTCTAACGAATACTTACTAGGTAGTAGTAGGAGAATATAGTACCTTTATTTTTATGTGTGAATTAGTGAAGAGAAAAAACGAAGGTTTTTAGTAATTGCGAGGTGGCATTGTGGCAATAATAAATCCACTCTTTTCAGCTGCTTAAAATTAAAAAAATGACTACATCAAACTTTCGTAGTCAACTACAACTACGTGCACCGTAGTTGGGAACTACAAGTGCTACGGCGCTACGGCCTACGCACGCCTACGCTGGGCGGGCCGGCCGCCCTAGCACGGTCCTCCGCGTATATAACGTGGTGGACGCGAGAGCGAGCCTCATTTCAGTGCAAGCGCGCGACGCGCCCTGGTTGACGTTGTGACTACGGAACGTGCGAACCGAAGTTAAGGTAAGTGGTTAGAATAGTGTATGAACAGAAAGGATAGAGTGGAAAAGTTTCGGGAAACTTTTTTGGAAGATTTTTTGATGGAGAGTTTATTTTGGAAAATGTTTTAGGAGATATCAATTTTAAAAGTTAGTTGTTATGACCTGAAAGTAAATAGCTTACCGCTATATAGGAGAGAAAGTGGTTAAAAGCATAGTAAATTTAAGAAGCGTCACAATAACAACTTGCATCAACTAAGAGCTAAAGATTTGTACTTTAAAATCTCTCATAAAAGTTTTTACTCTAGTGATAAAGTTTCAAAACTAAGCCATCGGAGAAGGTTACTTATTTATAAATTAATTAACACCAGAACCATGATTTTCTTCGTAAATATATCTAATTTAAATAAACCCTTCCGTGCTAGAAGTACTCTACAAAAATACTGATGCAAAAACAAGTCTCAAGCTTTTTAAATAAAACAATGGAAATCATTTACAATTGAAGAGAGGGTTCACAAATTTCAATTAACTTGAAATAATAAAGTCCATTTACATTCAGGTGGAGTGAAGTTATTTTTATAGAACCTACTAGGGTGCTAACTGACCTATTTACTTAGATTCTTCGTCCTCAGTAAGAGTAAACAGTGTCGTTGTCTTTTATCGATTAAAATTTTGCAATTAATATTAACCACAGGAACAAAAGAAAAATATTAACCAAAAAATATTTATCCATATATTTAGCAGCCGAAACGTCAAGCCGTGAGTACATAGGTAATGTAACTCAGTAATAAACGTCGCGTGTCTTACTATTTTAATTGAAATGGAACGCGAAAGTTTAAAATCTTATATTTAATGTTATCCATGTTTGCATAAACGAAAAATAAATAAAATACTGGCTAGTTAGGTACTAAAGGCAAAATCTTCATCATCATCAGAAAAATATGAAAAACGATATACGTGCCTATAAAATTTGAGGGTTGACCTCGATTTCCCTAGGATCCCATCATCAGATTCTGACTTAGTGACAATGGGGTCACCTCAGAAGTGTAACTCAGTAATAAACGTCGCGTGTCTTACTATTTTAATTGAAATGGAACGCGAAAGTTTAAAATCTTATATTTAATGTTATCCATGTTTGCATAAACGAAAAATAAATAAAATACTGGCTAGTTAGGTACTAAAGGCAAAATCTTGTTATAGCTATCGATTCAATTATACATTCATTTATACAGGTTGAAAACGATATGTGATCTTACTCGATTATTTATTAACTATACAAGATATCCAAGTTACTGGTCCTGAAAGTGCTTCACGAGCTCTATCAAACGGTATCAATATTGTGTTACAGAATGAACTGGATCTATCCGAAAATTTAATGTTACAGCTTCCATATTATATTCGTTACAGTAACATATCACAAGTAAGGATACCTGCTTTACTTGTGTACTTAATTAGTACAAAAGCAAGGCACCATATTATATTAATTACTACAAACACAAATAGGTAACTAGATTTGTTTGCGATTGTTTAGTCAGACTATGAAGGCTTCTCTCGATGTATATCCAAATATTTAAATAAATATGAATGTAGGTTTACCTGTTTCTATATCATGGATTAACAAATGATTTACCTGTTTCCTTTACTTAATTATGTTCGCCGCTAACTACATAGTTATGATTGTACTAAAATACCTAAAAAAAGGTTTTTGACAATGTTAGTGGTAAAACAAAAGATCAAATATCCTTATAGCTATACCTATTTTTCTAGTTACATCTTAATCTCTTCTTCATCAAACTGACATACTTTTATTACATTAATATGAATATATTGGATCCAGCGACCGTTTTATTGGATATGCCTTTGTACGCAAATATTTGAGGATGATGCAAAATAAAATAATTTGCGATAAATCCACGTTTATATCTTAAATACAATAAAATACAGTATTTCGCCTTCTTCTATTAAGTATAGAAGAATTTGTGTATAAAAAAATATTGAAACGTAATAAATCTAAAAAAAGCATTGAGCATAGCATAGGTATTTGATACAACATGAATATTGCAAAAACTGGCTGGATCATGAATCTGAAAAGCTTAGAATAGAAATAGAAAATTCTTCTTTTCTAAGCTTTCTGCACATAGTCAAATCGCAATGTATATCATTCATCATCAATCATCATCAAAAAAATATGAAAAACGATATACCTACGTGCCTATAAAATTTGAGGGTTGACCTCGATTTCCCTAGGATCCCATCATCAGATTCTGACTTAGTGACAATGGGGTCACCTCAGAAGTGTACCCTATCGAACAAAAAAATAATTTTGAAAATCGGTCCACAATTGACGGAGTGATCGGTGAACATTACATAGAAAAAAAAAGATACATACAGTCGAACATAGAACCTCCTATTTTTTGAAGTCGGTTAAAAATAGCAAATAATAGGCTACATAGGTAGGCATTGCATTTGGCTTCCTTTTTATCGAGATGCCGTTTCAAGTGAAACCTCGGGCAAAGGCTAGTGTAACAATACTAGCATGACCTACCTATGCAGGTAATTAAATCAAAACATTTCCTGAAGGTATAGCTAAATTCGTAGTAACCATTATTATTGTTTGATAATTAATTTTCCGCCCAGGATATTACGGCTATAAACTTTCAGCCGTGACGGGTATCCAAATTATATCGTGTTTAATCGATTAAGCTATTTGGAAATCGATATAACTTTTCACTTCTTTCTTTCACCACTTCTTCGCAGCACCAGCCGATATACCTACACGTAATGTCTTGAAGTGGTGGTTAGGCAATATACGAGTACTAGCGGCCGCCCGCAATTTCGTACGCGTGGATCCCGTTCTTAGGGGTTGAATTTTAGAAAATCCCGTCTTAGTAAACACCTACGTTCTAAATGGAACCCCCATGCACAATTTGAGACTCCTCATTTGTAGTTGCTGAGATTTCGTGATGAGTCAGTGAGTCAGTCAGTCCTTGAGAGAGTCAGTCAGTCAGTGACCTTTCGCTTTTATACATATAGATTTGGGACGGATATAAGTGCCCTGAAAAATACCTACTTAATACTCGTAAAAGAATTTGAATTCAATTTCAAAATTTCTTTGGAACTATAATTTCCGTGGAACTCAATCATAAAATATTTCTTTTTGATCCGGCCACTAAAGTTGATTGCTATGAATAAGTTATTGTTAATAGAGTCATTTTGTACATTCTTATTGTTTGTTTTTAATTACGGGTTTTCCTTTTTGATAGGTTTCTGATTGGACAAGTCCATTAAACATTATCAACCATCGGTTTCATTTCCTAATGTAATTACGGTGGTCAAGATCCGGCTTAATTAATATGACCTTTCAAATGTTGATAATTTTACAACTCTGACACGTACTAAACATTGGCATACAGTTCATCTTATGGGTATTGAATTGTATACCTATATCAGTAAAAACGAATAAAGTTTCTGGCACCTCCTTTTGATACTACTCAATGTGTACAAAACTTACTTACCTAAAATTGTCAATGAAAATCATTGTGCAGATAACTTTTTTAGGGACAATTCGATTTTTACTCAAAAAATATTTTATTCGGCAATTGGAGTTACGGATTTAAAACCGGTTCCAAAGCCTTTGATTCTAAAATAAATATAACTTTTAAAGTACAAAGTTTAACACGCTTATTCAATTTTCATTTTTTTCCCTTTTATTCAGGACAACAGTTAATTTATATATTATCATTCAATACTTACGTAGTTGTAACATAATCTATGTTTATTTAGTCAGACGTATTCTCCATGGTGTCAGGAGTAATTTTGTAAATCCAGAAACGTAAATTCAACTACGTGTACACGTAAATTCCGTTACACTGAATACCTAGATACTGTCACACTGCTATGGTTTACCTAAGCTTATGGGATGAAACGTGAAAATTTCACATGAAAACTAGTGCTACGTTTGTTGGAATGATTACGCATTTACGCAATGCTAAATATCAGCAGTTGGAAGAAACTCCTCGATGAATGTGTGTCAAAAAGCAGTAAAACACGAAAAAAAAATTGAATTCGCCTACTAATGCGTTTTGAATTTCAAGGCCGTATTTGATTTAGATTTTTTACAATAAACGAGAGATTTTCTACATTTTATGACAAAGCCAAACAAAATGAAATGCAGAGTAAGTTTGCGATGACCTCTAGAATATCTGAAAAGTATTTTCCTTTTTTGAGTTTGTAACTGTGGCCGATTTGTATAAAAGAAATTAAAGCAATACACTATGCTCTACGTGAATGATATTTGCCTTACTATTTTGTACTTCTGTTTCTACATACGCTATCCGCTGGGAAATAACTTAATCCAATGGATTACAAAATGGGTTGATTATTTCCCAGAGCATTTTTATAGATTAACATAACGTATAGTCACATTTACCAGGTGGATGGGACGAGTTGTTCATTAGTGCAGGGGTGTCAACTGCTGATTCGAAAGGTCGCCGATTCGATCCCCACCTAAAGCTGTATTGTGCACCACCCACTCTTAAAACATGCACCATATGGCTTATTTTGAAGGGTTAACGGAAAATATTTATATGTATCACAAATTACTAGTGAACTGTCTAAAATTAAATTGATAAGTCTTTATGGAGAAGCCATCAATGTTCGTCATTGTGTATGCGTTTAGTTAGAGGTGAGAATGGTGTCTTAAAATAGTTTTAACGATCGATTTTCAGCGCGGATAATAAGCATTTTTTATGAGAGACCAAAATTCTCGGGCTGGGCAGTGCAATCAGAAGCCAGCACATACCATTGGAATTGAGAGTAAAAATATAATTTCGATATTCAGCAATATGAGTTAAGCTAACGTAACATTTCCATCGATTATGTACAGTTGGATGCACGCACTTCATTAATAAAGTATTAAAATCGCATTTTTCGAATTTCCAATAACATACATAAACCTTTGTTACGAGTAATATAAATGCTCCTGCAAAAAAGGACTTTAGGGAATATAAGAACATCATCCAGCTA